GTTTTGCAGTCCTACATGGACGAATTTGTATGCAAAAAAGTGTATGGGGGCAATGCGTTGTACCAATTATGGTCTCAAAGAGCTGAACGGTATCCACCGCCTCCAGGTTCCGTCTGAAAGTGCGGGATTATCTTTTGGTTCCTGACCGGTCTGCTTTATGACAGTCTAATTTTTGGAAAATCCCTCGTATGAGGGGCGCTAATGCAGCTTCTCTTCCAGGTTTCCTGATCTGAGAGAGAAGCGAAGTATCAGTATAAATGTAACGTCAATGTAAAAATGCTCAGATACACGCAAAAACCTCTTTTCTACCTCTAACGGAGACGAACCACCAACTTATGTTCGACGTGCTGTCTCACTAACCACTGCATTTTACACAACCTGTTTGACCCACCACTCCACAAACTATTCTACGCTCTATCGCCTTCTTTGCCTCGTACTGATGTTCTACGTTACATAATAACCTATTGCTACAGAAGGTCAAATCTGTTCATAATGTCTCACAATATTTTATAAATCTGCAACTGAACAGCGCTCGCTTTTGGCATTACATGGGGACGCACTAGCCCTTAGCCGAGGTTGACACGATCGACATGTCTCCTCGGCTGCTTGAAGCTGCGACGACAGCGACGTCGCTCTAGTCGCAGCTTGCCAGAAGGAGCCTCCTCAAATATATATATGGGGCCATCAATCGACAAGAGCTTCGTAATTTTCTTGTTTTCACGGTTGATTTCAGAAAAATCTCACTTTTTTTCATTGATTCTTTTCTTCGCAAGGAATCTTTGCAGAGTTACTGTTACACAATCTGCATGGTTTTCTTGAAATCAAATATTTCACTCTTGGATTTATTTATTGCTGTGTAGGACAGTGTTCCAGTTGATTATCTTCCAGCTTTCTTGAGATTCCAGTTGTTGTCGATTGATTCTTTCATCTGATAGGAAGCGCTACTGTAATAGTAATTTCGGCTATTGGTGCTTTTTTTATGTTTGTTTTAGAGAGATGGGTTTTTTTTGCGTTTATTTCATGTATGAGGTGAGCTTTGTAACCATATGCATTGTCTATACCTTAAGAGTCAATTTTTTTATTATTCGTTTCGCTCTAATTGCCTTGGCAGCGCGGATTTGAGTTTTTTCAATGATAATTTATTTTGAAATTTCTGTTGATGGTTTAGCGGTGATAGCAGTTCACAGTGCTAACTAGGTGAAAGACAGGCATGTTTTTAAAAAGGAAGCTTTGTCGTGCAGTTTCGAAATTAATTTTTCGTGACTTTGTTCATCTTTGAGAAAAAGCGGAACTGGAGAAATGAAAATACTCTTTTTGTTGGTTTAGTTAAGTTTTTTTGACTGCCTCGTCTAAAGGTCATTTTGTAGTCATTTAACTAGGAAAGAGGAGATTAAAAGTGTATTCTGTTTTATTTTAGACTTATTAACATAACGATTTTGTTAATTACAAATTGTTAATCTTATATGTTAATCGTTTTCGGTTTTTTAGTCAAATCTTGATGCTACCTTTTAGTCGCTTTATTTCGACGCTACTCGTTTTTTAAATTTTTGTACATGTTGCTTTTCTGTGGTGGGCTATCTGTAGAGCTATGTTCTTGATAAGTACGCTGACAGGTTGGTTCTTAAAACGATATATCGCTACTTTAATTGTTTTATGTCACCTGTTCGTCTTAAAACTTCTACTAACGCTGAAAAATATCGCGGTTCTACCCATAAAACATTAACTCGTAGGAATATTGCCACACTGATTATTTGTATTCTTCCTCTCTCGCACGGTTTAAAAGTGGAGTTTCAGTTTTTTAGTCATTTCAATTTTTTTCGACGTTTTTAAGGAAAAAGTTGAATTTAAGAATCTGTTTTATTTAAGCTTTTGGCAAGTAATAGTTGCTCAGGCACGACACGGTAATGCTAGTTTTCAATGACATTTTTTGGAACTTTTTGGGTGATATGCCGCTACATGTAATGCAGTGAATATGAGAGCTTTGCGATGGCTTACACTTATTTATTTTACTTCATTCCAAGTTTTAAAGTAAGGTTTAGTAAACTGGAAGTCTTGAAATAATCATGCTCATTTTTGGAAAACTGCAAAGTTTGATGATGCAATCGTCGATCATTCTATATTTACACCCGTCTACTGCTCTTTGAGGAAATTAAAGGAGAAATGGGTGAACTTCCAAGAGTTGTCGATTTTTTTCCACACGACAAGGTATCTGAAGCATTGATAAATTGTCTCTTTGTGGTCATCTTATAGTTTGATACTTTGATAACTGCGGCGAGGCTAATTTTCTGAGCCAATTTTTTAAACAGTCAAAGACTTAGGTCAGTTCCTTGTTGAAATGTTAAATTATATTTTAGACTTTTGGCTATATTTTTAGATTGTAGTGAGAAAGTAACTTCTGACTTACGTGCTCTTCACTTCCTTGCCATCGTGCAAAGAGCTTCCAGTTCCGGTGTCGATTGCAATGTCACCATGTACCTAAAAAATCATTTGTCGTCACATACTGGTTTGCTGGAATGAATGTGCTTTTAATTTTTTTAGAAGTTTATAAGTTTTACCCAGCGTTCACATTTACTCAAGCAGCTCTCCTGTTGGAAAGGAAATTGATATGATACGATGGAAAAGGCTAGCAGTTCTGATGCTTCAATGCTGACTTTTGAACAAGAGTTAAAGTATTTTTAATATCAACCGTTTTCTGGTAAAAGCAACATGTGATTACTCATAGGATACGTATAGAAAACATGAAGACGCTTTATATCTTAAGACTACAGGATTTTGAGAAAAAAGTAGTTTTTTAAAACTTCCCTAATTAAAGTACAGTTACCTTAACATCCAAAGATTTAACAGTAGTTTTAGCTGTTGCAATGCTTTTAGCAGCTTCGTGAATAGCTTGAGCTTCTGGAAAAGACCTATTGTATACATCCAGCAAGAAAATCTTGTCTATTAAGATTAATTCAATTTTAAACAAATGCCTATTTCTTCACGAACACTTTTTTAATGTGCATCTAGCAGCATCTGTTTTGACCACTGTGATTCGTAGTTTTTGGGAGGTTTGGTTTTGCTTTAGAAGGGATATTCACAGGAAAAAGTGATGTATAATAACCTTTTTTTGTGTACGGTTTGTCGTGCAATGGAGTCACAAATACTGCATCATCGGTGGAGAATTTTGCTGTTTCTTCAAATTTACCAGCGGCTCTCAAGGCGCTCATTTCATCGTGAATCTTTTGAAATTCTGCTACACCTACAACAGATTGTTCAATCAAAAAGTTTCTTCTTGCAAATTCAACACTAATGCAGAAATGGTAATGCTAAGATCTTCTAGCGTTTAATTCTAACGCTCTTCTGGGAATTTATGAAAAATCCAGTTTTGTACGATGCACACTTGGAAGGGCTTGAGGTAAATTAAACGGCTCTTCTGCTGTTGTATGATTTCTGTACATTTAGGTGAGGTGTCATCCAGGCACAAAAAAAGGCTGGTTTTGCGCTTGAAAGTAGCTACAAATGGACGCAAAATCAGTAGAGCGATGGTAATAATTTAAAAGACAGCAAACTTTAAGAACGCGAATATTTAGCCTAAGCATTTAGTGAGGAGTTCTAGTATTGTAAGCAATGCAGGTGTTCCTGAACTTCCACGAAATGAATGTTTAAATTGTTTAAATTTTCATATGCAACTAATGGAGCTGAGGATGTTAGTTAATCGCTGGAACCAAACATAGATGAATGCGAAGGTTTATAAGCGAACAGAAATTTGTAAAGTGAATATTTCTTGTAGATTAAGTAATCTAAACTATCTCCTGATGATAACTGGATTGCCAGAAAACTGGGCGCCAGCTTAAGAGTGTTAACTATGGTAGATACCATTACAAAATTTATAGTTCACGTTCACAATTGTTCTCTCGCAATACTTAGTTTAATTCAGGCTGATTTACCATCGCTGTTGGTTGTCGACAATTTTGACAACTACAATTGTCTTATCAAAAACTACGTCTTTAAACCATCTCATTGGAGTTCTCCTGTAAAAAAAACAAAAAAAAGCGATGGTAAAAGCAATGGCATAGCATTATGTATAAAAATCGGAAAAATTTTAAAAGAAACAAATGGTAATTTAGTAAAAATTTTTTAAGTTTTTTTATCTGGAAGAAAATTAGAAATTTTTCAAAATTTGAGAAAATTCAGGCTTGACTTTTGAGAAATGGATAAGACATTAATAAAGCTAACTCATATGACGTTAGACATAGTTTTTTCTTTGTTTCTTATTAAAAAACTGCTTCTGTTTTTTCTCAGTTTTTTCGCACTTTTAATGCAGAATTTTTTCTGTTTCGCTATATACTTAAAAAAGATTGCTTTTGTGAGTACCGATAGTTTACAGACAGCTAAGTAGAATAATTTTAGATGATAAGTCATTGTGAAAGGCTTAGAAAAACAAGCGCTAAAAGTATTTCATTTCTTGTGTTAATTAAACTATTAAAACTAGTTTTCTTTTCGCTAATTTTTTTACCTAATTTTAGCTGGCTAGAAAAAAAATTGAACAGTTCTTCAAAACAACGTACTGTAATGTTTTACTTGACAACCGAAAACTGCATTCTTATACTGTTTTTTTTATCATTTTTCGCGAAAAAAAAGCATTGTATTGCTAAAGAGTGGAATTAACAGTAAATAAAAAAAACGCTCATTGAAAAGATTTTCTGCACTAAGACTTCTCTTTTGGCACTTCTGCAGAAGTGATGTGGAAGAAAGCTGTGAAGAAGTTATTTTATACAAATCACTTTTCTTGATTTGGTCATCAGTTGGTTGAATCTTTGGATCGCTTGTGGACAAGTAACGCATTTTACAAGAAGAAGTTAAGCAAAGACAAATGCCAGACTTTTGCTCCTAAGGCACAGAGTATTAAAGCAGTTTGTATTATAAAGGACAGTAAAGTGAAGAAAATTGGTCAAATAAAACTAACTCATATTGGTTGTACACTGGTGGCAGAGAAGATTGAAACTGGGGAATACTGATAATTCTCAGAGGTTCTAATATTTATATAGCTTGGAGAGGCCGAGTTGTATTTTTTGCTTTTGTAAAATAGTGTTTTTTTCGCATTTCAATATATTTAATAATTGATAAAATGGTATAAATGAGACCACTCTTTACCTGATTGTTATTTAATTATTGTAAAATTATCCTGAAAAAATAAAAGGAAAAGTGTTGTAAAGTCAATTTTACCGAAAGACCGATAACAGCTACACATACTGCAGTGTGCATCTTCTTTTTTTTCACTGTTTTTGCAGAAATTTATTGCTGTTTTTTTGAGAGTTTTCTATAAAACTTGCAAGTACCAACAAACTAACTACAGTGTATTTTGAACTATTGAATTTAGACATAAAACAGAATAAACAAAGCAACAAGGCTTATTTGCAAAGCTGCTGTTAATCGTTAATCACCAAATGAAGCACTGAATAATACCGATTACCTCGGTCAGTTTAGCCCTTTCACTGCTGTAAAAGTTTTGCAGATATTTTTGTTCAGTTTGTTCAAAAAAATTTTTTTTCTGATTTAATTACTTGCATTAAACATTAATTCAACAATGAAACAAATTTCATTGGGAAAACAATAAATCTAAAGGATTCTTCAATATTATTTTAGTTTCTGAACTGTGCTCAAATACTGTTAACTAACTGTATTGTTGTTGTTGTTGTTGTTGTTGTTATCGCTGATTCTTAGCCATTGCTCACTAATCTGAAACTGTTTTTGGAGCAAAAGATTAAAAAAATGGCAACATGAAATCTTTTTAGTTTTTCTTGAATAACTTGCACTATAAAGTTTGATCAATCAAACTTTTGGAAAAATTATTCATTGTAAACAGAAAAAAAGGTTTTTTTTTCAGAACTATTATTTATTACTTAAAGTTTTACTCAAAATATTGCAATTAGTGACTGTCTTAGAAACGATAGTATTTGAGCAGATTATTATTACAGAATAAAATTGAAAAAAAAATTAGTGATTGACAGGTGCAAAGAGTTTCTGTAATGTAACTAAGAAGAAACTACACTTAAAACTGTTTTTTTTTCTTTCTTAGGCATTACACTCAAAAAAATTAAGGCCAATAGTAAATTAGTGATAATCGAGAAATGTTTATGAATTAGAATAAAAAAAAATTTACAATTTTTACTTCAAGCCAAGTTTATAGCTAAGTCATTGATAAAGAAGACAAGAAAGAAAGAAAAGAGAATAGAATGTAAATAGTAAAATTTTTTCAAGCAATTTTTTTTTAGAAATTTTACCTTTATTACTACTTTAATAATTACAGACTAAAGGCAACAAATCTGCTGTTTCTACGTGTTGAAAAACAGTTCTTATTTCTTCAATGGCTATCTTTGACAGTTTTAACTATAGTTTCTTCTCAATTACAAAATTCAATTGTTTTGATTTTTCGACTATATGAGTGGCACAAATAACATCAGACCTGCAGTATTTTGTTGGACAGCCATAGTGCTTTGAAAATTGAAAATGACAGAATTGTTCTGACTACACAACTAGTTCATTACTTAAAAAACATTAATATTTAGAAGATCAAAATACTGTTACAGTGTTTCAGAGAGTTTTTGAAAGTTCTTTGACACCTAAAATTATTCACTGCTGTATGCTAAAACTGACAACTGTAACGAGGTAAAACAAAGCCTTGCAAGAAAAAAAATCAAGATTCACTTCACTGTTCAAGTTCTTGCAAACTAATTTTGATACTTGAAAAATTTTTTATTCTTTTTTTGCAGATGTTTTTGTTGCTTTATTGAGCATAGAATCTTGTTGTCAAAATTAATAACGTTTGAATTTTTATTTTTATCTTCTGTTTCTTCCATTCTATGTCATGAGGAGTAAGTTGTAAACTTTTATCAATCATTCAAATCGTAGTCTTGCTAAAAATACCTCAGTAAAAGCAATAGCCGAAATTGATAACATTTTATCAGAATGTTTACTTAACAGTAATAAATAGGAATAAAAATAGCGAGTGAAAATTCGTTTTGATATTCGTATTATAGTCAACCGCTGTGTTTCTAGTTCTACAATAAACGGTTTCAGTAAAGCATTAAAAAATATTAACTGTTGAATGTGATTACAATTCATCAATAATGTGGTATACTGCAAGAAAGAACTTTTTGTAAAGACGTCTGTTAATCTTTACCATATCAGTTTTCGTTCGTTACAAAACCGCTACTGAAGCATTCACAGAACTCAGTGAGAAAGCCTAAAAATTAGTTTGAGGAATGACAATTTTTGTCAAAAGTACCGAAGAATTAACAGAATCAGAAACGTTATATTGCGCTTAACGTCTGTATCAGTCTGTAGTTGGGAAAATACGGCAGATGACGAATCTGAGTCATCAGTGTTTATTTTCGACAGTTGTTACAGATTATACACTAAATTTAATAGATGGCGACTGTATGACTTCTTCCATCATCAGCAGAAGTTTTCAAAGCTTTTTTTTTTTTTTTTTTTTTTTTT